CCATGGTTTTTGGATTCAATACAATGTGATTTAGGCTCATAAGCATTTCGGCATGATATGATCTAACGTAGGAAACATCAAGATAAAATCTAAACGGTAAAATTGTTTTACGACACATGCGATTTGAAAATTAAAATTATATTAAACGTATAAACATTTTGTGTCATGCTATAATTCGTTTATAAGGTTTTCATACTTTTCATATATTTTCAACTTTCACTGTTATCATAATCGTATTGCGTTCATAATACATTATTTTTGAAAAAAAATCAGAGAATCGAGCGCGTGAGATTCACGCGCGGTGATTCTTCGCCAAAACAATCGCCAAACTTTTCTTCCTGATCTCCTCCGCTCGCACCTCCGGTTTCGGCTGCGACCGGTGCTGTAAAAGGACAAATCTTCGTTTCTAGTTTAAGCTGTTCTCTGGCACTTGACTCTCTCCAGATATGTTAGTCTTCTTCTGATCTTCGCGGCGAGTGGGTCGAAAGTACGTCAGGCGTGACGGCCGCGTCTCGGAGTTAAGGTTATCTTTGCCGTCGTTAGATGGCTCGTCGATGGTGGTTGATAACGGCGAGGATCAGATGTTACCCTTCTCTTGCCTCACGAATTTCCGGTGACAGAGCAAGTTTCAATCAGGAGTGGAGCTGCATCTGCTGGCCGTGGTTACTTTCTCTGTCCGTTGTGGTTTAGTCACCTTCCATTCTAAGTTTTTGAAACTCCGCCGCAACTCGGTCTTCTTCTCCGATGATTTTTGGGCTTCTCTCTGACGACTTCTTCCGCCTGAGGACAGATGTAGTTCATGATGCGGGTCATCTCAGTCTTCGCCTAAAGTCCATTGTTGTCTATTTTGGGTTGTGACTGTAGAGATTTCCATTGGCCGAGGCAATGTTGCTTCGCCGCGTCTTGATGGTTTGGCTTCCCTCTGTCTCACTAGCTTCTGGAACCTCGATCTCTAATTCCTTCCCCTCTAGGATTTGTTTCAGGGTAATGTTGATTGGTTAGAGTCTCGTGGTTTCTCTTTTCACAAGTTGCCTCGATGAAATGGTCCGTTCTCTAGAGGTCTTTTGTATGTGGACAACAAAAATTTCTTGTGGAGACTAGTCATTGTGGCGTCTCGGGTGTGAGACCTTGTCTTTGTTGATCCTTCGAGTATATCTTTGATCCTTATGGTGATGTATTGTTGGATATGGTATAGCCGCCGGGGGTGGCTATTCTGCTATTTCATTGGGTTGCATCTCCGTATTCTAGTAGTTTTGGTTAGAGTCTAGGCCTTATGTTATTTGTGTCTTGCTTCTGATGTTGTTGTGTTTGTCGTTTGCATGGCCTTGTGTTGGGTTTGTTTGCGGCAGTTTGTGCATTAGAGGAGCTAGTTAATACAAATAGGTGATCTTTGCGGTTTCTAGTTGTTATATCCAGCTATGTGCTATCCGACTTCAAGGGAACTTGGTAGATTGAGCTCGCATCGATCACTTATTTTGGATAGTGAGGCTTTTTCATCGGCTCAGCTCATGGTCACGTGGATCTAGTGGCACTCTCATGACGCGAGAGGAATCTGTTTGAGGGTTTCTAGTCCTAGTCGTTGACCCCTCGATCTCGTGCCTCAATTGAAAGGCTTCTAGTGCACTGGGTTTGCTAATTTCGCCTTTCAACGACTGCTTTCGCTCCTTCACCTTTACATACAGATTTTGGAAGAACATTTACATCGTCATCACTTTGTCTAACTCCATTATCACTTGTGCTTATGTCAAGTGACAGATTGGAAATCTTAAAGTTTTCCATGTTTTTAATTTTTTTGTCATGTGATCATTACATAGGTTTATGGATTGTGTAAACCTAAACGTTTTAATTTTTAATGAATATTTACATTCTTAAAAAAAATACATTGTTTGCTAGCAAAACTAGGGGTGGGCGTTCGGGTTTTCGAGTTCGGTTCTAAGTTTGAAATCCGCTAATACCCAAATTGTGTTCGGGTTCGGATTCATATATTCTTGGATTTTCTATCCGAAAACTAGTAGTTATCCAAATTTTTTTCAAGGATTTCGTTCGATTTAATTAGTTTTTAATCGAATTATCCGAAAATATCAAAAAAAACATAAAAATAAATTGTAATAATTCAAATAATATATCTTAAATTGGTTACTTTCACCTTAATATATCTACAATAATCGAGTTGATCGAAACAAACAAAGAAAAACTATAAAAATTACCTAAACTATATGAACATACCCGATCTTAAATCTA